TAGTATTAAGACTAATAATAATGAAGGTAAAATAAGAAAAGAAACAATTTTTTTATGTGAAACTTTCCATGTGACCAATAGCGTTGAGTTTTTCTAAATCCATGATTTCTTTTTATATCTGTAAGCAGAAGTAAATGGAAAGTTTTAATATAAAAATTAAAATTAACCTGTGAGGGGAGTAGGTTAAAAAAAAGGATTTAAAGTAGAATATATATACCTTATAGAAGATGGAGTAGTGATGCTAATGTTGTGGCTGCTGTTGATGTTGTTGCTTCAGTATATCTGTAACAGTTATGCGATCTCCAGACTTGTACTCCGCATTATATTCCATCAGCTCCACTCTTCTCCTTTCTCTCACACTTCTCTTCACCCCCTCACTTTAAAAAAACTGTGCACGCATCTTCACTTTAACGTAGAATAAGCATCACCCCTCTCTATTGAAAGAATGCGCACGCAAGTTGGGTGGAAAATAACTACATTAGGATATTTCTAGAAGTTAGTAGGTTATGGAGAGGGGGTAACGCCATTTTTATTTATAAGCAAATGTAAAATTTTAATCTCAATACCCCCACTTTTATTTAATACATACTTAATATTTGCGCACGCAACTCCACTTAACTGAAAAGCAGCTCATGGATCGTCACATATGAGGCATTCTTTGTCAACTGAAGCCCTCCATCCCTCCAAAATTGCTTTAGTTATAAAAAATCGGACAAGGTCTTAAAAATTCTATAAAAATAAATACTTTTTAATGCCGAGTGGCGTTTTTCAAAATTCAAAATGGCGGATCCAATAGGGCGCCTAATTTTTTAAAAATTTATTGGATTCACTTGAAAATGGTTACTCGGGGGTGTTTGGGATCGCTGATTACGAATCCGATGTTAGTTTTCAAAAATTCAAAATGGCGGATCCAATATGTCGGACTTTTTTTAAAAAATCATTGGATTCGCTTAAAAATTGTTACTCGGGGGTTTTTGGGGTCGATGATTACGAATCTAATATTAGATTTTTAAAATTCAAAATAACGGATGATTTTAAAAAAAATTTATTTCATTCATTTTAAAATTGAAGTAAAAGGTCCCTGTGTTTTACAGGGTTGACACTATCAACATATTAAGTTTATGAAGCCCACATTACTTTTGTTTTTTTTCACTTTGAAAGTAATTTTTCTTTTTTTATTTTTTTTTATTTTTATTTTTTTTAATTTTTTTTTCGTTTTTAATAATTTTTTTGAACAAATAAATAAATAATTTTTTAAAATTAAAAAATTTTTTTTAATTGAATTTTTTTAGGACAATGGATAACTAAACGTAATACCATCAGCAGCACTTGAGAACCGTTTGATTAATAACTTGTTCTCACTTAACACAGTGAACGAGTGGTTTTTTTGGATTTGTGGAACTGGAGGAGCAGAATCAAACCATGTCTTTAACGACCTTTTGACTCTTTCGTGTTCTACTTTACTATAGAATAAAATAGACATTGAGTCAAAGAATGTTTTACCCCAATCATAAAGCTTTGTAGCCGTTAAAATAGCATCTACGGGTTTAACAAGCAGACTTGCTCTTGCTGCTTCTCCTTTAAATGTAGCACCAATACCATCGCATGCAGTCTTGCCATGTGCGGTTGCATGGTAATGCCAGTCAGCTTTAATACCAAAATCTTTTTCATGGCTCATCAAATTTTGCATCTGAAACTTATTTTTAAAATGTTGTTTAGCACCGTCACTGAAATAAATAATTTTTTCAACTGGGAAGAGTTTCTTTATTTCAGGTATCAAAAGACGTTGAACTGTGTACACAGCAGAAGTATCATGTTGAGTAGAATCAGATAGAAAAATAAAACTCTTATGTTCTAGTTTAGAATTCGCTTTAAAATAGCAAACTACAGTAAACACAGTGCATTGGTCATTGTTAAAGTGGAAAGCTTGAACTGCATCTTGAGCCACATACTTATAATTTTCACCGAAATCTAATGTTACAAGTACCTGTTTGTCAAGAATATGAGTTTTTTGATATTCGAAATAATCCGCCTGCTTTTTTGAAATATATGAATGAGACTTTAAAACTGAGAGTTTGCTACATAATTCATCGACAAATTCTTCGGAAGACATTATGTGTGTGTGTGTGTGTGTTTAAAGTGCATCTGTCAGTTCCAGTCCACTGACTAAATACCACTTGAAAAATATTATTATCTTGCAAACACTCTTTCAAATAATCGCATAATTATGTGCTGCCTGGGCAATTTTTACATTCATCAAGATGACAAGCTGTAGTTGCGTTTTTACACATTATTTGCGACAAACCATCTTTGTAAGTAACAATTGGATTTTCTGATTCTTTTGTCAGGTTCTCAAAATCAATGGCATCAAACAGCAGAATGCACTTTTGGTGAATGATACAAACACACACAGTATGTGTTCCACTACTTCCCATTAGTACACAATAATGAGGGCGCATTTGTGCAAATTTACTGAAACTGACTGGAAAGTTTGGATTCAATTCTTCATATTTCGAGTGGAGAACACGTAAATCTAAAAGCAACAGACGTTTTTGCATAAGAACCTGTTTGCCGTCAATTTTAATGGATTTAACATCTTTTACGCAAGGCATTACTCGGCTATTAGAATCACTTAGATAAAATTCATTTATTTTCTGTACTGTTGTTTCTGACAATTTTTTGCCAACTTTTGCAGTTGTTTCTGCTAGAATACCCTTCGCAGCTTTCAATTCTTTTGCTTTTTTTGTTAATCTTTTTGAGCAACTAAATTCCCTCGCAATTTTTTTAATACTCTAGGATGTTGGGACAATTGTTAAAATTACCAATCTCTGTGGGTCATTTAAATTTAAACTAGAAAACTTTTCTTTTAACTCATCTAGCATCTCTTCAAGTTCTATTTCTCGTTCTGATCTTTCTTTTGAAGAATCAGGATTTATAGATGATGAAGATGAAATGTCCATTGAATCAAGGGTTTCATCTGGATTACACTCCATAATTTTATTGTCATCAGTACATAGAACTTTGTAGTTTCTGCAGTCATACCAAATTTTTGAATTTTCAACAATATCTGGGAACTTTCGATTTAGATTTTTGGACAAAAACCGCAATCCCTTACCGTTATGCCCTTCTTTGTTGTATGGATTGCAACATCTATCCAAATGAGTACTTATCTTGACGTTTGACATTGCTTTAGTACTTAAATCTATTAAAAAACAATATTAAAAAAATAATAATTTGAATAGAAATAAAAAAAACTGTAGAAATAAAAACTTTTTCTGCATATCTTGGTCAGAAGTACGTGATACCATTTATTTCGAATAAGGTAACAACAAATAGGAAAAAGGGAATTTTTGACCCTTCGGGAAGTTTCCAAAATTAAAATGGAAAAAAGGAAAATGAGAAACTTCGGACTACCGTGCGGTGGCTAGTAGTGGAGTGACCAAGGAGAATAGCGCCTGACTAAGGCTCGCTCGGTGCCTATAGTGGGGAGCGCTGAGTCGCGTGCTGCGCGTTGATTGGCTCACGCGGTTGCACGTGCCGACGATATGTCCATATATGGGCATCAGGCGATATTCGTGAAACAAAGAGGGGAAAACCGATATCAATCGGTTTTCTGAAAAATGCTCAACCGTCAAACGAATATTTTTGAATAATAATATTTATTATTATTATTATTATTATTTAATATTAATAATAATAATAATAATAATAATAATTATAATTATAATAATAATATTTTTGATGTGAAACGGGCAAAAATAATATTTAAATTTCAATTTAAATTGAGACTTAAATTCTTTTAAGTAACGATTTTCAGGCAAATTCGATAATTTTTTAAAACAGTCCACCATATTGGATCCGCCATTTTGAATTTTTGAAAACTAACACCGGATTCGTAATCAGCGACTCCAAAAATCTCCGATTAACAATTTTCAAGTGAATACATTGATTTTTTAAAAAAAAGTCCGCCATATTGGATCCGCCATTTTGAATTTTTGAAAACTAACACCGGATTCGTAATCAGCGACCCCAGAAACCCCCGTGTAACAATTTTTAAGCGAATCCAATGATTTTTTAAAAAAAGTCCGACATATTGGATCCGCCATTTTGAATTTTTGAAAACTAACATCGGATTCGTAATCAGCGATCCCAAACACCCCCGAGTAACCATTTTCAAGTGAATCCAATAAATTTTTTAAAAATTAGGCGCCCTATTGGATCCGCCATTTTGAATTTTGAATAACGCCACTCGGCATTAAAAAGTATGTATTTTTATAGAATTTTTAAGACCTTGTCCGATTTTTTATATCTAAACCAATTTTGGAGAGATGGGGATTTAGTTGACAAAGAATGCCTCATATGTAGAATTGAAATTTTAAATTCACTGCGTAGAAGGTGGCGCCATCTCCTAGAAAATGTTAATAACATCAATGCAGAGTGGTAATGTAGAATGTTATTGATTTACCTATTGATCTTTTTAAAATAGCTTAGTAATGTATCGATTTATCCTATGATTCACTACAGTGGCGCTATCTTCTAGAAAATGTAGTGTAACATTAATGCAAAGTGGTAAAGTAGAATGTTATTGATTTGCCCATTGATCTTTTTACAATAGCTTGGTAATGTATCGATTTATCCTATGATATTTATTTAAATATTATTACATATAATAAATAATTTGAAGAGGGTATTAAATAAAAAAAGAAAAAAATTGTTAATAATATAATATAAAAAACATATTTTTTAAATTACTTTTTCCCACAATTTTTTTTGGGTTCGGTTCTCTTCCGAACCCATGGAAGTATTATATTCCGCCTCCCCAATGGGATAGCCGCATAGGATGCAGCAGCAGCCGCTGCAGCCACGGCATTGCGTGACCTCTTTGGTGGCGGTGGAACTTGTCGCCCCGATGATGATGATGATCACGCTGATGATAATCTTTCTGCTTGAACTGCCACTGCCGATGCTGGATTGTCCAGCAATGGACCCCATCTTGTCCGTTAAGGCGTCTTCGCAACATTCTCCTTAGATACCATCGGAGGATGAATTACTGGACCCTATAAATAATAAAATAATTTTATAAAAATTAAACATTTAATATAATAATTTTATAAATTAAATATTTTTAAAAAATGTGTTAAAAAAAACTCTTATGAAATTTAATCTTCTTTTTTAAATTATAATGAAATATAATGTGCTTGAAGATACGAACGTTCAAATGAACGAAATCTCCCGCACACTGTAATAGACTAAAAATCAAGTTAAAATATAATAAATATATGTATAAACACTTTTATTTATTAAATAATACTTATTACAACATTATTAAAAGCTAATAACACGAAAAAATTAAAAAATTGACATATCATAATAGACATAAAACATAACCAAGAATGTGTAAAGAAATAACTTTCAATTAATTAATTAATTACTTAATAAGAACAGCTTCATATAAAAAAATAACAAATAAACAATTTGTTTCTTTTTAAACAATTTGTATGAAAAAAAATATTACAACCTTCGGACCCCCCCAAAATTTTAAACAATTAGCGATAGATGGCGGGAAAATTGAAAAAATTTACATAAAACCTAATTGTTTATACTGAAGAACAGGTTATTTTCAAAAATTTTATTTGGAAAAGTTGTTTCTTTTTAAACAATTTGTATGAAAAAAAATATTACAACCTTCGGACCCCCCCAAAATTTTAAACAATTAGCGATAGATGGCGGGAAAATTGAAAAAATTTACATAAAACCTAATTGTTTATACTGAAGAACAGGTTATTTTCAAAAATTTTATTTGGAAAAGTTGTTTCTTTTTAAACAATTTGTATGAAAAAAATATTACATCCTTCGTAATTGAAAAAGAAAAATATCAAAAATTCTATTCAGTTTTATTAAATATTCTAACAAGATTTCTTTCCTTGTATGAGGTTGTTAAATTCAAATTTGACATTAAAAAAATAAAAATGGCTGATAGAAGATGGCGGACAAAAAAAATTAATTTGTAATTTTTAATAAAAAAATTTTTATTCACTAAAATTGACATTTTTATAATAGTTTTTTTTTCAAATTCAGCAATTTTTTTTTAAATTTTTGACCCTCCTCCCATGATTTTTTTTTATATATAATATGTCAATTTTTTTTTTATATTCCGAAATCTGCTTTGCCGTCTCCTGGATCAGCTCGAAGGTTTCATTTTTTTTTATTAAATTCTTCAGCTCTGAAATATAAATTTAAAAATTATTAAATGCAACATATTTATCCGTATAATACATTATTGGATTATATTTTACAAGTATCTTAAATTTTTTTAATTACCTTCATATGCCTCTATTTGTTTACGTCGAGGTGTTTTTTTGTTTATTTTTAGAGGTTCCACCTCCTCCTCTGATTGGTTATCATCTGAAAATATATATAATTAAGAAAAATATGAAAATTAATAAGTATTTTATTATGTAAAAAAGTATCGAACAAATTACGAAGCAACAATTTTATGACTTTTCCATTAAGATTTATAATTTTTATTATTATTTTTAATTTAAAATAAATTTTCTGAGAAATGAAAATTCGATCAAATATAACCCTCATAACAAAAGGATATCCCTAGGATATCCATATCAATGGTCGATATCCTAGAAGTTTCCGCAGGATATTTTGGGATATCCATAGGATATCCAAACCGCCGGTCTGTGGGACATCAACAGGACATCCATAGGATATCCACAGGATATCCCTAAGACATACACAAAATATCTATTGGATATTATATCGTAGGATATCCATGGGATATCCTCAGGATGTCCGTGGGATATTCACGGGATATTTAATATCTCAACATATATTTTTAAAGGTTAAAATTGTTAAGCTAATATAATGAATAATAGTATAATAAATACAAAAATCTTAAGAGCTTCTAATTTATTTTAAATGAAGATTTAAAACGCATTTTTCAAAGTTTTTAAATAAACTCATGCACTTAATGTATAATTAATATTAATAGTTATTCGTTATTTGCGGGGAAGAATTTATATTGTTTAAAGACAATTTATTTTCTGACAATATTAAGCATATGAATAAAGGAATGAATCACGAATGAGAAAAAAATTAGTTAATAATTTTTCAAATTAAACATCTTTCGCGAAAAACAAATCGCATTTTATTTTATTTATATAAAATTTAATTCATAGAATATTCTCACTCGTAGTCTCATAATGACTTTTAAAACAGTATCCTGAGAATATCTTTTTGACATCCAGAAGATATACTGAGAATATCCTGAAAATATCTGTGGGATATCCTGACCATATCTATGGAATATCCTGATGATATCTGTGGGATATCCTGACGATATCTATGGGATATCTGGAGGACATTTATGAAATTCTATAGAGATATCCAGAAGATATCCTGTGGATATCCAAAGGATATCTAAACCGCCGGTTTTTTGGATATCCTTAAGAGATCCTTTTGATATCCATAGGACATCCCAAGGATATCTATTATCGTTTAGAGATTTCTTATATAGGATATATACTTACGAGTTTTTGAAGAACTCCCATTTAATTTTTCTGCTTTGAGCATGGATTTGTATTTTTTAATTTGTTTTTTTAAGAATTCCACTGATTCATCATCAGAAGACGATGAATATTTATATTCTTTCGGCATCTATAATAAAAAGAAAAAATTATAAACAAATTTGAATATGATTCTTATAAGTGTAAATTTTTTGAATTTTGGAAAAAATGTATGATTGAATACCCGGATCAAATAACTCGACCGACGCTCGGACGAACGCTCTATTACCAGTCAAGTAGCAGTGACAGCCTGTGGGCGGCTCACTGCTACCCGACTACCATTAGAGCGTGCGTCCGAGCGTCGGTCGAGTTATTTGATCCGGGTATTCGATTGTATATTCGATGAGCTAAATTTTTATTAAGTATTTTATAAAGAAAGAGGTTAAAATTGAAAATCCAGCATTCAAATACAACCCGTATAATATTAAAAATACATATTATACTAAAATTTATTTTCAAATCAATAAAACAAATTTTGCATTTACACAAATTATTTACTTTTATTTAAAGAAATTGAAAATAAGTAAATTATAATTTTACAAAGGGTAAAATTATTATTTTTTACTTAACCTCAAAAATTAACAATATTATAATTATAATATTGTTAATTTTTGAGGTTAAGTAAAAACCGTAAGTAAAACCGTTTTTCAATTAACTTGAAAACCAAGTAAAATTATAATTTTACTTGGTTTTCAAGTTAATTGAAAAACGGTTTAATTTGTAATATATAAAAAAACAATTATTTGTTTAAAACATCATTCCTAACAAAAAAATTCTGTAAAATTATAATAAAATTTCTAAAAAAATAATTTTTAAAAATATTTTAATTTATATGTGGTTTAAATTTTGCATACAATTTAGGTCTCTGATCGAGTTTAAGATACAAAAAATTGGTTTTAGTCGGTTTTTTATTTAAAAAAAAATAAATTGATTAATCATTATTTTACTTTAAATAACTAATGTCATTAGATATTAAATTCATTTGATTAAATCTGTATTAAGAGAATAATTGTATAAAAATATTGTCAAAAAAAAATTATATTACAATACTTCAGAATCGAACTAATTGTAAAACAAACTTTAAAACTTTTATTTAAGTATGACAAATTTAAAAAAAATTGTAAAATTACATTTTTATAATTTTTCAAGTCTGACTTAAGCAATTTATTTGAACAATGTGTCCGCAAAATTTTATTTTCAAAATTCCCTGAATTTTTCCCGACTAATTTTTTATTTTCCCTGACTAAAAAAATTTTGAATTATTTAATATTGTTAAAAATAATTGAATTTCAAAAAATTGTGTTAAATTTCAGACAATAATTATAATAAAAGAAATATTTAATGATCTATGTTGATGAAGAATTTATTAAGAATCAAATAAAAAAATTTAATTCAAAAAATTTTAAATTGAAAAATGCTTTTAGATAACTAAATTTTTTAAAAATATAATGAAAATTATTTAAAACAATTTTAATTTTTGCAAATAATTTAATTTTAATTTATTTTAAATTAAAATTTTTTGATAATTTTATTTGATAATTTTTTTAAAATTATAAATAATTATTAAATTTCATAAAAAAATTAATTAAAAAATAATTTAAGATAATAAATAATAAAAAAAAATTGTTATTTTTGTACATTGCAGTCTTATTTTTAGACCGCCAGAAATATTCAAAAAAAATTTGAAATAATATTTGAAAGCAGTATTTCAATAATGCCCCTTGAGGACCTGGAAATAATAAATGACGCTGCCTTTGAACGTAGGAATTGAGTGGTGGGGATGTTGGCTTTTTTCAAGCAAAATCCCCACCTCTTGCTGCCTACGTTCGAAGGTAGCGTCGGTTTTGATTTCCCGACAAGATTTTTTTTCAAAAATTTTAGAAAGCCGTTTAAAACTTATTAATTTTCAAAATTTTTAAATTTAAATAATGTTTTATTTTTGAAAAATAATTTGTACATAACTCAACTAAGTTTAAAATTTGAATTTTTAAAAAATACATATCTTGTAAACGTTTTGCTAAAAAATTTATTGAAGAAAGAAATATATGGGACGTTCCACGTCAAACGAAACAGAGCTCTAGCCAAAAATTCAAAATGGCGGATTCCAAATGGTGGTCCATTTTTGTTAAAACTCAATTTTTTTTCTCAAAACTGGTTACTCGGGGGTTTTTTGGGTCGTAGAATACGAATCTGAAGTCAGATTTAAAAAATTAAAAATGGCGGATCCCAAATGGTGGTAGTAACCAGTTTTGAAAAAAACGGAGTTTTAACAAAAATGGACCACCATTTGGGATCCGACATTTTGAATTTTTTAAATCTGACTTCAGATTCGTATTCTACGACCCAAAAAACCCCCAAGTAGCAAGTTTTGAGAAAAAAAATTGAATTTTAACAAAAATCGACCACCATTTTGGATCCGCCATTTTGAATTTTTAAAATCTGACTTCAGATTCGTATTCTACGACCCCGAAAACCCCCAAGTAGCAAGTTTTGAGGAAAAATATTAAATTTTTAAAAATCGACCACCATTTGGGATCCGCCATTTTGAATTTTTAAAATCTGACTTCAGATTCGTATTCAGCGACCCCAAAAATGCTTAAAAGTGTATTTTTTGATTCAATTTAATTAATTTTGGAAATTTTATTCATGTTTGTATTTGTCGAATCGTGACATTGATGACTTATATCACATCTACAGGCGCCGCCATATTGAATTTCTAAAATCGCCCAACTGCATTCGAAAGTACAAGAGTGTACAAGTTTTTTCAGCCCTTAAACAATTTTTTTTATCAAGCCAATTTTTGGCTAGAGCTCTGTTCCGTTTGACGTGGAACGTCCCATATATATATATATATATAATAATGTATATAATTTTAAAAAGTACATAAAAACTTACCTTTTTTAAATTTTAAATTGTTTGAAACAATTAAATTTTTCAGAACGAATAAAACTGCAATAATTTTACACTTAACACGAAAAACATGAAACAACACGTTTAAACATTAATTAAATTAAATAACACAATTTTAAAAACTTTGTTTTAATAATAAAAATTTTTTATTATTAAATTTTTTTTTATATCTGAAGAGGAACAAGCCCAATTTTAATTCAGCACAAGCTCATCGGCTTCCAGGAGACTACTAAAATTTTCAACGAAAATATTAAAAGATAATTTTAAATTCATTACTTCTATTCTAGAAGTAAAGAAAAGTAAATATTATGAAGGGTGAAATAGTATAGAGTAAGAATTTTTAACTATTAAGCAGTCTATAAGTGTGAAAAAGGACACTCTTATGTAAAATATAAAGAGCACTCACGCTTAGGGCTGATCAGTAGTTATTATTCTTACTGTATACAATTTGAGAAAAATATTAATTTAAAAACATATTTCAACCTTTTGAAATTAAGACGATTTATAGTCAATTTTTTTTTCTGACAATATTAAATATTTAAAACTGTAATATACTATGGAAAATTGAAAAATAATTAATTAATTAATAATTTTTTAAGTAAAAATCGAAATTTTCAACAAAAAAAAATTTTAATTAATTTTTTAATAAAAATTTTCTAAGTCCAAAATTCAAATATTTTGTCATCAACAAAAAATGAATGTTTCCAATGATTCAGAACAACGAAAAACGCGTTTTTAATAAAAATATATTTACACTTTTTTGAAAATAACACTCACACTTATGGTTTACTTAGCGGGGGTTTCCTACCTTCTCGGCACGGTATTATTTAGTCTTTCTCTAAATAACATTTTATAATTAACAATTTTCGAATATTTGCGCGAATCACAAAACCCATAAAATCATGAGCAAAAAGTTTTGAACATTCATATTAACAAAATTTTTTTTGTAACTTCTTTAAGTACGAATTATATTACAAAATATTGTTTTAAATATAGAAAAACAAGTTATTAATTTAATTTTTGTTTAATTTACTGTTTTATTTTAAACTATAGCAAAATTAAAGGCGCGCAAGCGCGCGAAATTATATATTTCATTGTTTTTTATAAAGAAATGTTAAAGAAACCAATTCCGCAATTAGAAAACACAATTATACAACTTGGCAAAAATGAGAAAAGTAATATTTAAAATTTGACACGCCATAACAATACAATTCAAAAAATACGTGAAATCAGCATAGACTAACTTCAAGTCAGGACAGAAGGACAGGCCTAGCATTTTATTATTATTATTATATATATGAGGCAAAATTCCTGAAATGTCCGAACAAAAAATTAAAAGTTCTCGAATTTAATCCATACTTTTCTAAAATGTTGTTATTGTTGGTGAAAGTCTAAAAATCAATTATTATTGAATTTAATAAAATAGTTTTTGAATTACAACGTTTTTAATTTTTGACTTTTGAAAAAAAAAATTTTTTTCAATATACAATATTTATAAGTAGAATGCATAAAAGTTAACATATATATAATGATTTTTAAAGCTTTTTTGACGGGCTACACGCTGTTAATAAAATTTTTTTTTTTAAATAACATTTGACCTTGAAATTCAAGGTCAAAATGTTAATTTACGTTTATCTGAAAATCGGATTTTTTAAAATTATTTTTAACTATCTCAATGGAAAGCTTGACTAATTTCCTACAAAACATGTAATTTTCAGAGTGGGATCTGTTAAAGTTTTTGAGATATTAATTAATTAATTAATTAATGTTTATAACAAATGAAATATTTTACAAACGAATAAAGTTACCGTAATTCTGAAATTAGTAATTGAAAGTTAACGTAATTCCGCATCCAACGAGCCCTATATGAAGTATTTTGGATAAGTAGATTGTTAATAAACAATTAGTTAACATTGCAATTGTTTATTAACAATCTACTCATCCAAAATACTTCATATAGGGCTCGTTGGATGCGGAATTAGCTTAACTTTCAATTGGTTAGTTTAGATTTACGATAACTTTATTTGTTTGTAAGATATTTCATTTTTTATTGTTATTTAACTAAAATTGAACAAAAATACTTCATATTGGGCTTTTGGATGCTTGTTGTTAGTAAAAAATGAAATATCTTACAAACAAATAAAGTTATCGTAAATCTAAACTAACCAATTGAAAGTTAAGTTAATTCCGCATCCAACGAGCCCTATATGAAGTATTTTGGATGAGTAGATTGTTAATAAACAATTGCAATGTTAACTAATTGTTTATTAACAATCTACTTATCCAAAATACTTCATATATGGCTCGTTGGATGCGGAATTACGTTAACTTTCAATTACTAATTTCAGAATTACGGTAACTTTATTCGTTTGTAAAATATTTCATTTGTTATAAACATTAATTAATTAATTAATTAATATCTCAAAAACTTTAACAGATCCCACTCTGAAAATTACATGTTTTGTAGGAAATTAGTCAAGCTTTCCATTGAGATAGTTAAAAATAATTTTAAAAAATCCGATTTTCAGATAAACGTAAATTAACATTTTGACCTTGAATTTCAAGGTCAAATGTTATTTAAAAAAAAAAATTTTATTAACAGCGTGTAGCCCGTCAAAAAAGCTTTAAAAATCATTATATATATGTTAACTTTTATGCATTCTACTTATAAATATTGTATATTGAAAAAAATTTTTTTTTTCAAAAGTCAAAAATTAAAAACGTTGTAATTCAAAAACTATTTTATTAAATTCAATAATAATTGATTTTTAGACTTTCACCAACAATAACAACATTTTAGAAAAGTATGGATTAAATTCGAGAACTTTTAATTTTTTGTTCGGACATTTCAGGAATTTTGCCTCATATATAATAATTTTAGATAGAATGTTTTCCTGAAAAATGAAAAAATTCCTTACAAACGCAAATAAAATTAAACAGCATGTCTGTATTATTTTTTTACTGTAAAACAACACTAATTACCTTCAATAAAATCTACAACTTAAACCTCAATTGCAAAAGAATAAGAATAATCAATTTTATTAGATTTTTTTGATAGAATGTTTTCCTGGAAAATGAAAAAATCCCTTACAAAGTCCAATAAAATTAAACAGCACGTCTATATTATTTTTTTAATATAAAAAACACTAATTACCTTCAAAAAAAACCTACAAATTAAACCTCAATTGCAAAAGAATAAGAATAATCAATTTTATTCTATTAATTATAAAATTAAATGCGCGAAATTGGTTATGTAATGGTTTATTATAAAGAAATTTCAAAGAAACCAATTCCGAAATTTGGAAACACAATTATACAACTTTGGCAAAAATTTTAAAAAAGATTTTTCAAAATTAAACACAGATTTGACACTTCATACCATTGTAATTCAAAAAACACGTGAAATTTGTAAACTCCAACTTCAAGTTAGGACAGAAGGACAGATCAAGCATTTTATTATTATATAATTGACATTATAATTTCTAATAATTTATAGATTGAAAAAATATTGAACGTTCAAAACTTTTGGCTCATTCCATACATACTAAAGCAATAATAATTAAATAATTTAAAAAAAAAAATTTTTTTTAATTAATTCGTAGTAATCGTAGACTTCCCGTATTTTACGGTAATTTATGGTTTTGAAAAATTTGAAATTTATAAAAATGCGTACGATTGATTGTTTCAATTAATAAAAAAATATTTAAAAAATCTCTTTGAAAAATAAATCAAATTTTAAGAGAAGTTCAAATTTTAAGTTTTCAAGAATTATTATTTAAAAAAATTATACACTAAGTTATAATTATTTTAATTTTTCATAATATATTACATTTTTAAATTCTCAAAATTGTCAGAAATTAAAAATTTACACCCGTAAACAGAATAAATTTTAAAATTTCGCTATTAGAGAAAAAATAGGAATATTTCTGAAATATTTCGAGAGGGGCAAGCTGCGCGTTATACCTAAAACGTGTTAAGGCGCAAACAAGCCAATTTCCATACATCGGGGCATAAAGTACGCCATTTGCATCCAACGCTCTCGCCTGACCACGTCTGTGCCACCTGTTGTGCAATTTTATTTTACCAAAACAATTTTGAATTTTTGTATTTTTCAATATTAAAATTCAATTTTTATTTAATTTGACTAATTCTTTTGAATTTTTTCTGCACTTTTTTAATTAGTGCTCGTGTGTTTTTGATATTAATTTTTAAAAAAATTTTAAATTTTTTATATTTTGTTAGGATTTATTTTTCTTTAATTTTATTATTTTGTGTGTGTGTGTGTGTAAATTGAACATGGCAGCAGAGCACTGCCGTGTTTTCTAAAAACTTAGGTAACTGCAAAAAAATCGAAAAATGAGTTTTTTATATCGTTGGAATCGTGGAAAAAAGATACACCTGTTAATGCAAATTATTTTTAAAAATTGTTAATATTATTAATAATAATTTTTGCATAAATAATTGAAAATACCGGTAACTGCAAAAATTGATGAGTGATAATTTGAGAAACTTAGGTAACTGCTATAAAAACTTGGGTGTCTTTGGGTGTTGTGACGTATTTTGTAGGTCGTGATTTGAAGAACTTAGGTAACTGCACCAGTGCCTAAGTTTCTCAAAACACGGACCTCATTTTTCGAGCCCTCGTCGCATGGAAAACTTAGGTAACTACAGAGTGCTATAAGAGCACTGTAGTTACCTAAGTTTTCTATGCGACGAGGCCTCGAAAAAGGAGGTCCGTGTTTTGAAGGACCAAGTAACTGCAAAATCTTATACATTTCTTTAAAATTACAATGTTTTTTGTGCAATTAATAATTTGTAATGACAATAAATAATGAAATAAAAAACTCCAATACTATATATATATATATATATATATATATATATAATTATACCTAAATAATAATTTATCAATTATTGAAAAATTAAGTATTAATTTTAATAAATAACATAAAAGCATTAATAAATTAAGAAAATGAAGTTCAGTAATATGTTTATTTCATGATTAATATATAATTAATTTAGTTCAATTATTTAAAAAATTAAAATCGTTTTTAATTATTTAAATAAACGTTAATAAAGCAGCGAACTACATTACCTACAATAATTTGACTTTAATATTGTAAAATTAAAATAAATTCAATCATTTAGTTTAATATTTGTAAAAAACAATAATTATAATGATAACTTTCTCATCTTATTAAATAATTACACTTTATTATTTATTATTTATTTTTATATTATTTTTTTTTATTTTATTTATTTTTTTATTTTTATTTCTTTATACACGGGCAACGCCCTTTATTACAATGAAAAATTCTTAACTTAACTTAAAAAATAATGTAAATCAACCCAAAAAAGAATATTTTTTATCGAGAAGAAACCGATTTAGTTTGTTTTTAAATATGCTAAAAGAAGGTTGAAAAAAATCAATTTCGTGCATGAGATTTGCTTCCCTACAAATACGCGTGAGCGCACAATTGTCTCCATAATTTGTACGATGGTTTTGTACTTTAAAAACTGTAGGAAATCGAAGAGAAACAATAGGCGATGACAGTGAGATCTGTGAGAATATTGTTGGGCATTCAATTATTCCATTCAAAACTTTATACAGAAACAAGATATCATTTTTAAGAAATCTATGTTGAATAGAAGGAATGTCAAGGAGTCGACGGAGTTCGCTATAATCATGATTACATTTATCGTAAGGGATACCAACTTGTCTAGCCGCAAATCTAAGAAAAACATTTTGTACTCTCTCAATCCTAATTTTATGAACATAGTATTGAGGTGACCAAATTACGGAAACATATTCAAGGAGAGGGCGAACAAATGTAAAATATAATACCCTTAATACACATCGGTTATGAAATTTAGAACCTACTCTCATTATCATGTTTAAAGCTCTAATGGCTTTGTTTACAATATTATTTATAAGAACAATATACGTGAGAGTACTGTCCAACACAATGCCCAAGTCACTTACTTCACGCAGTTTACGGAGAACAGTACCATTAATATTATAATAAAATTGAAATGTTTTTCTTTTTCTCGCAAAAGTAATTGTTTCACATTTCTCTAAATTTAATGGAAGTTTATTAATAATTGACCAATCATTTAAACTCTCCAGATCATCTTGGAGCTCAAGCGCGCATTTAATCGATGTAATTGTATGATATAATTTTAAGTCGTCTGCATAACAGTTAAAGTTACAATACTTTATATAATTTTTAATATCATTTATAAATATAATAAATAAGAGTGGTCCGAGATGTGAACCCTGTGGCACCCCTGACGTTGGAAATATTTTAGCAGACAGTTGACCCTTTACTCTAACCACAAGAGATCTATTATGAAGATAGGAGCGAAGCCATCGTAAGGTCATCTCTGATACACCATATGCTTCGAGTTTAGATATTAAAACAGAATGACTAACTTTATCGAAAGCCTTAGAGAAGTCAGTATAAACTGCATCAACCTGCTTACCGCCCTCCAAAGCTTCGGTCAAATATTGTGTGTACACGCAAAGATTAGTCACTGTAGAGCGACCTCTCCTGAAACCATGCTGCTCCTCGATTAAAATGCTTTCAAATGCCGAGAACATTCTATCATAAAAAATACTCTCGAAAAGTTTTGGTATTGCATTAAGAATTACAATTGGCCTGTAATTTTTTACATTTGATTTATTACCCTTTTTATAAATAGGGACAATAATACCTTCTTTCCATATTTCAGGAAAGTAGCCAATTTTCAGAGAAGAATTGAAAATATAAAATAATGGATCAATAATCGAGGAGCTACATGACTTCATAAAAGATGACGGAATACCATCGACTCCTGGACCCTTTTTTGTATTCAATTTTCTTATTTTAGCCAAAATTTCATTCTTAGTTATGTGCGTTACATTTAACTCCACATCCTCAACAAATTCAAAATTATGTTTATCTTTATCATCAACACCATAAACAGAATCAAAAAATCGCACAAACAGATTCGCAATATCCTCACTGTTACAAGCAGTTATTGTGTCAAGTGACATTTCCATTGGTAATACAGATTTTTCCTTAGAAGAATTTAAATAATTCCAAAATAATTTAGGATTAGATATTAGGTTATTTTCGGTTCTGATAATGAATTGATTATAACACTCAATAGACATTTTGTTGTATTGAGCTCTTAAAATTGTAAATTGTTCATAGTGTGATAATTCTCTAGTTCGTTTATACATAGCATGTGCAATTTTCTTTTCCTTAACCAAATTTTTCAATTCATTATTAAACCACGGAGGATATGTTGTGCTTTTATGGTAGGAAAGGGGAATAAACAATTCAAAAGAAGTATAAATATGCATATATAAAATATTAATCATATCATCAATTAATGTGCTTAAATTTGTATTAGAATCATAAACATTTATATCTGAATTCAATATTGCCAATTTTTCGCCGAATAATTGTTCCCATTCAATAGTAGACAAATAATTATTAATAGATTGGAAATCTGCCTTGCCAAAATTATAAGATGTGTATTCATTAAATTGTACAGGTACTTTTTTATCAAGTTTAATATCATAAATTAATGGAGGATGATATTTGTCAGTAGGAAGAAGAGAATCAAAAGCTAATTGTATCGTACTATTATCATAATTAGATAAAATAAGGTCCAATATGGAGTTATATTCATTAGCAAAAATATTTAATTGTGTTAAATTTAAAAGTTGCAGAGTGTCTAATGTTTTCTCAGTAATGGTTATTTGAGAGGTTAAAGACCCCTGTTTAGGCTTACAACGAAGTTCATTCTGAAAAGAAATATCCCATTCGATATAAGGCATATTGAAATCACCCAATATATGAATAGGCACATTTGGATAAGTAAAAAATATCTCCTCCAATGAACGATAAAAATTTGCATAAATAGTAATATCAGAATTTGGAGGCAAATATACCACACCAAAAATGTGCCAAGAACCAAAAATATTTACACGAACAAAAATCATTTCTATAGAATTATTTGAATTGGGAATTAATATACTAGGGAAGTTATTATTAACAGATAATAAAACTCCTCCACCTCGCTGACTTACACTAGTGGCAACATTTCTGTCACACCTGAACGTTGAAAAATTATCAAAGCCTAACTCAGACGTACTTATCCCGGCATGTAGCCAAGTTTCCGTAAACACAAACATATGAGCTGAACTGGAAGGTAATACTCTTCGTAAATCGTGAAGCTTCGTGCGCAGGCCTCTCACATTTTGGAAATATACTTCAAACACTCTTGTGACTGATGACTCAGTTTGGCCGCTTGGTGGGAGATTACAGTGAACATCATTACTTAGTTGCTTTTCGAAACATGCGGACCGCTCACGCCTTACTTTTTCAGTGGATTCTGTACAATTAGAGGAATATTGTTTCTGATTACCATCCTGATATTCTCCTCCCCTGCTAGTCGTCGATCTTGCAATTCCTTTTTCACATCTTTGAATTGAATTAACTGTTCCTTTGTTTTGTCGGTTGTTATCCAAAGGTCTGTGATTTTCAACTTTGTCATCTTCGCTTTGTTTTTTATTGCTTTCAAAAGGTCTTGCATGAGAATTTGAGCAATTGACGGATTCTCGCAATGAATTTTCAAAAGTCTTGGTCTCGTTTGGTCCTGCGACAAATTACCGACACGATTAATCTTTATTGCAGGTAAATTAATGGGATGCAAAATTTCTTTTAAAAGTTTTATTGTGTAGTCTGAATCACCACCCACTTCAATACTATTAAAGTTTTCAGTATTTTTATTCTCAGGAAATCCAAAAAGAATTAAATTATTACGTTTACTATTTCGACGCTCAAACTCATTAAATATTGAATTTATGTTTAAGGTGGCAGTTTTCAATTTCGAATTAACTTTTTTAAGCGTACCTTCGACGACATCTAGTCTATCCGTGACCTTTTCAATTGTTTCCTCGTTAGCCGTGATTCTATCCATAATATTGTCAAATTTTGCCTCAATGCTCTGAACAGAACTCAAAACTTGTTGGTTGTCCTTTGACATTTTAACTTGTAGCGAATTAACAGCACTATTAATAATTTTACTAACATCGTCCAAGGTTATTCCTACACTCGGTGTTGGAGAATTAGGACGAGAACTAGAGCCACAGCACTTTATGTATTTACTAGAACCATCTGATAAGGTTCCAGATCGAATAGCACACCCTGGGTGATAAGGTGCAGAACATCCTGGACAAAAGACAGCATTCTTCACGCTCTGATTACAAAATCTACAAGTTTTGTCAACTGCTAGCTGACTTGAGCAATTTTGTGAATCACTACTCATAGCGTAAACAAACTGTATATTTGATAAGCACGTGCACAGATTTGAGGTTAGAAAGAAAAGACCATGAAAAACCAATATGTTTTTGAAAATTTTTCTCATTCACTATACACAAATAATCACTCTTTGTTCAATAGATCACTTAGTCTATTTGTTTCAATTTATAAAACAATATAACCGACAATAACAATGAAAATATAAGGAGCAAAACCATGCACATGTTTCAAGGCGCTCTCTGGCGGATAAATATCCGCCAGAGATTTAATATTAGATAATATTTTTATTTAATATAATTATTTAATATATTTTTACTATTTTTTAATTTTTTTTATGTATTTTATTTTATTTTATATTATTATTTAATATATTCTGAGTTAATACAATATTTGACTCTAATATTGTATAATTAAAATAAATTTAACCATAAAATTAAATATTTGTAAAAAACAATAATTATAGTGACAACTTTCGCAGCTTATTAAATAATTATAGTTTATTATTTAATATATTTTTTGCCCAGAAAGATGAAAATTCTTATATATTCCCTGCAGTTACCTAAGTTTTCTGTGCGACGAGAGGCCTAATACGGGCGCTCGTAGCACGAGGGACCAAGTAACTACCAGTTACCTAAGTTTCTCGTGCGACGACCCTCAAATCAGCATACCGGTAACTACATTTTTAATAATTTATTGAATGTTTAAACAAATACAACATTTATTTTTACATAATTAAAAAGAATAAATTTAGACGAATCGAAGGAACAAAACGGCATTTAAAAATTTTAATTAGGCTTTGCGGTACATATCAATGAAGTTTAAACAGTTTTTCGCGTTTTTCTCGAAATCTTTCATTCTGCAGTTACCTAAGTTTTTAGAAAACACGGCAGAGCAGCTGAGTATTGTCATCAGGGACATTCTTGCATCAGGACAAGGAGATATAAGTATAGGAATGATGGCAAGAATGGTAAGTAAAATTTTATTTGTAAATAAATAAGTATAATAAAAATTTTTTTTTAAAACTTTGATTTTTTGTTAAATATTTAGAAAAAATTTAAAATGTCAAAATAACAAAAATAATTATTTAGTTAAAAAATAAAAAAGGTTTTTATTATTGAATTAAATATTTTCTTAAGAATATAAAATTCATTTTTTGAAAAACTCAAAATTCGCGGTCAAAATATCTAAGATTAGGTAGTTAGCTACCTATTATATATCTTAAATCAGTGAGGCTACAAACATACGTATAATGTAGTGTCTAAGCCGAATGACATTCGGAATTGATCGGGCTGGCTCGTGTATCTCTGCGAGAATTAGAGAAACAAAGGGCAGACCACTTTTCGCCGCCAACTCATCCCCGTGTACCTGCTCAGCGGCAAATTTTCGTCCCCGTATGTTCCCCCACTACCGGTCGTACTGTACCCCTCCGTTCAGTCAGACGGCAACTTTTTCGACTTTTTTTTACATTAAAAAAAAAATTTTTAATAAAATACATTTTTTTAGTATAAAATGTAGATCTTCTTCAGATCTTCTTCAATTCAATTATTTAACAAATTTTGAACTAAAATAATTCTTCATTAAATTAATTATTTTTAATAATTTTAATGAAATTCATCACAAATTCAATTATTTCAAAATTATTTTTCAAATAAAATTTTTATGAAATTTAACAATTGTTTATAATTTTAAAAAAATATCACAATAAAATTCAATTATTTTCAAAAATTCCAATTCAAAATAAACTAAAATTTAATTATTACCCAAAATTTCAATTAAAATTCAATTATTATCCAAAATTTCAATTCAAAATCTAAGAAAATTAAATTAAAAATTAAATAAAAAATTCATTGTGCTGGAGAAGGAGAAGGGGGAAGTGGAAAACACATGCAGTCAGACTGAACGGAGGTGTACAGTACGGCCGGTAGTGGGGGAACATACGGGGACGAAAATTTGCCGCTGAGCAGGTACACGGGGATGAGTTGGCGGCGAAAAGTGGTCTGCCCCCGATAAGTTTTATAGGTTTAAATAAACATTTAAACACCGCGCGCAGCATTTTTCGCATTTTTGAAAATTAAAAAAAATTGTTAAATTGTTAAAAATTATTTTTTTTCATTTTTAATAGTGTAATATGATTTCAGGTTAAAAAAAAATGAAAAAAATAATTATTAACAATTTAACAATTTTCAAAAATGCTAAAAATTCTGCGCGCGGTGTTTAAATGTTTATTTAAACCTATAAAACTAATCGGCCCACTCTAAACTTTTTTGCAAAATCTTCTTAGTATTTCCAGGTATGTTTTTTAAAAAAAAAAATTTTCAAAAAACATATCCAAATTAAAAAAAATATTAATTTCTTTATAAAAAACTGATATTTTTTTAAATAAAAATTTAAAAAAAATTTTTTGTTAATATTATTGAAAAATAAAAGAAAAATTAAATTTAAATTAATTAATTATAATTTATAATTTTAACATTAAAAATATTGGCGGTTAATGAATTCTTTCAATAACCGGCACATATACTTTATGTGAAAATAACGTCAAAACATTGAATGAGGCCCCACACGGTTCGTTTAGTTTGTTTCTCTAATTCACGCAAAGATACACGAGCCCGCCCGATCATTTCCGAACGTCATTCGGCTTAGCCATTACATTATGCGTAAGTGTGTAACCTTTCCGCTTTAAATATATGGACGATTTCACGTGAGATTTCCGTCGACCCTTTAAATTCGGGCAAATATATTTTTTTTTATTCTGCAGTAAAAAAATAGATACATATTTTTTTTGTTTTTCAAAAAGATTTTCGAGTTATGAATTATTAAAATTTTAGTTATTTTAATGACTCATAAGTCTAAAAAAATTGATTTTTTTTAAATTTTTGATAAGAAAAAAAAGTTTCAGTTTTTTTTTACTTTTCAACAATGTTAACAAAAAATTTTTGTTTTATTTTTTATTAAAAAAATATCAATTTTTTATAAAGAAATTAAGATTTTTTTAAAATTTGGATATAATAGTTTTTAAATTTTTTTTTAAAATAACATACCTGGAAATACTAAGAAGATTTTACAAAAAAATTTATAGTGGGCCGATAAGTTTTATAGGTTTAAATAAACATTTAAACACCGCGCGCAGCATTTTTCGCATTTTTGAAAATTAAAAAAAATTATTTTTTTTTCATTTTTCATAGCGAAATATGATTTCAGGTTCAAAAAAAAATGAAACAAAATAATTTTTAACAATTTTTTTTAATTTTGCACATTTCTAAAAAATTAAAAAAAATTATTATTTTCATTTTTTTTGAATATATAGTTAAACTCCTAAGCTTCGATATTTTAACCACTATGGGGCATATTTTAATACATATAAAAGCGCGATTTGAATTACGTGCTGACTCTCAATTCCTTTTTATTTACATTAAAAAAAAATTTGTACTGAATTGTGTTTAACTTGTGATCTTTAGTGTAATAATTTATGTTTTAAATAAATCAAATTTGCGGATATAAAAATAAAATAGTATATTAAACAAGAAGGTTCCAAAGTAAGCTATTTTTTACATTTGCGTTTGCAGCCCGGAAAGTTGGCTCTACAATAAGCGCATCGGACGTGGACGCGAACGTGGACGTGCTAACGTCACCCATTTAATACTGATTCCACATATACCAAACGCGCGCGTTTTGCGCTGACGCGTGTCGCTAGCGACAGAGTGGGATACGTATTTGTTGACGCGTATCGCTAGCGATAGAGTGATATACGTATAGTTTAATACGTATACCACTCTGTCGCTAGCAACACGCGTCAGCACAAAACGCGCGCATTTCGTATATGTGGAATCAGCATTCTGGAATCGGCCTGACAGCGGTTCCACATGGGAGCAAAATCGCCGCGACAAAGCAATTGCCTTACCCCCACTGCGCAATCTAACTCCTACGCGCTTATTGTAGAACCAACTTTCCGGGCTGAAAACGCAAAAGTAAAAAAAAATTACTTTGGATCCTTCTTGTTTAATATACTATTTGATTTTTATATCCGCAATTTTGAGGTTTTCAAGAAATAAATCATTTCTCTAAATGTAAAATTTTTAGTTTTTTAAAGAAAATTTATTTTTAATTTAAAGCCACAAACGTTGCGCTTTTAAGTTATCTGATGGCCGGGTGAAAAAGCCATTCATTTGTTCTACCGTTTGAAAATGGCATCCATTTTTACCTTAAGGCAAAAATAATACATGGGCCAGCTGTTCATGTTTAACCTAGGGCAAACATCAATGTCATTTTCATACGGGAGATTAAATGATTGGCTTTACATTCGGACGTCAAGTATCCGAAGACGCCATATTTGTGTCTCTGAGATAAAATTTTTTTTTATACAACAAAAAAAATATTTAAAAAATGAAATATTTTGTTAAATTGTGTTAAACTTATAATGTTCAGTGCAATAATTCATTTTTTTAAAAACTCTAAATTCCGGGCAAAAAAATGAACAAACTTTTTTATGCGTCTAAGTTTAAATTAAAGAAATTGTGCTCATTTGTACTATACTTGTTCTTTTTTATGTTGAAATTAATTTTTTGAAAAACTCAAAATTACGAGAAAAAAATAAAAAAAAAATTTTATGCGTAAAAGTCATTAAAAATATGCATCAATATTATTATTAGTTTAATTTGTTTTTTTAATTGAACTTTTCAAAAATTTAATAGAATTGGGATCTGAAATACTGCGATACGCCATCTGGTGAGAGCCTTGTTGTGGAGGCCATGTTTTCATTCCGTGTTTCTCTAACATATACAAAAGAAAGAGATAAAAAACCAAGATGGTTGTCACAAGAAGGCTCAGGGGTGGGTCAGTTTCGCGTGATTTCTGATCCCAATAGTCTATATTTTATTCAGCCCATAGTAGGGGAGGATGGGGCAAGGATAGTTAGGTAAGATATTTTTGGATCTAGCCGTGAAATTTAAACTGGCATCGGAAAAAGAATAGTATCGTTGGAAAGCCTGTTTATTTAGCTACAATTTT